GCGGTTGAGCGGCCTTAGCGTATCATTAGCATATTACACTTTGATTGGTTGAATGGCCAACTGGTCAACTGGACACTTAGCATATTAGGTTTTTATTATATAGGATGTATACATTTTATTCAGTGTAATTTTGGTTTCCCATAAGAAGCTCATATGTTTTTTTTCCCCTTAAATGTAGTGGTAACACATCATTTGTTACAATTCCCTTGTAACTCTACTACCAGGAAGGTCAATGTAGTTTAATTAATTACTCTATAGGGATACAAATAGCTTATATATAAGTAAACTGTACAAATTTTAATGTATTTTTATGTATTTATACATTTTTATCTCCTTATAAACTTACTTATTTTCTAAATGTTTGTTTCATCCTATGAACTGTATTATTTGTGTGTATTGACTCAAAGTGAGAAGTAAACAAATCAAAGAAAAATATTTTCCTTACACAACTCTAGAAGTGTAATTTTTTTCTTATCAAGCACATCTTCTCCAATCATAAATAAAACACATTTGATGTTTAAGTGTGAAGTGGATTGACAGACCCTGGAAACGGCAAAGGGCCAGTGCAGCCACGTCTGTGCTGGCCCATCTGCTGCTCATTCATCGTCCCAACTCCCTGAGTCCCTCCCTCAGAAATCCCCAGGGCAATGAAGACAAGCAAGCTCCTCAGACTCCGAAGAAACCTGAGACCGTTTTCCTGCAGAGCCCTCTGCACTTGTTTGCAGTATTGTGTGGTGATTAAGCCTGACAATGTGAAATATTTAAAGAAAACTGGTACTGAATGTAAATGTCAATGTGTTTAATTTCTTGCCCATGGCATTTTTACTTACTGCTATATAGTTAGATGTATTTAAGAATCACTTTGAAGAAGTTTAAAGCCTTGAAGAAATAGTGAATAAAGATAGACAAAAAACAAACAAACAAAATTGAAAAAAACAAACAAAAAACCCTGGCCAGTGTTGCTCAGTAGGTTGGAGCATTGTCTCCAAAGGTTGCCTGTTGGGTGCATATGGAAGGCAACCAAGCCATGTTATTCTCTCACGTTGATGATACTCTCCCCCTCTGTCTCTTTTTCTCCCCCCCTTTCCCTCTCTTGCTCCCCCTCTTTCTCTAAAATCAATAAAAACATACACTCTGGTGATGATTAAAAAATTTAAAGAAAGAAAAATGAGGAATTGTAGATTGTAATTGAGGTTTTTATATAATTTGATATGCCCTGATTCTTGAAAAATGAAAACGACAATATCAATGATGAGTAAATGATTCTGACAATAACAGCTAGCAATTCTAGGAGTTAATTAATTTTCCCAAATTCATTGAGCATTAAATAAGAAGAATTATGATGAAATACAAGTTCCCATTTGAAGCATAAGATTGTGACTTAAGCACAGTTTAAAAGAAAAATTTCAGAACAATTACATTCTAATTATTTAATACCCAATTAGTCTTAATGTTTTACTGGGATAATGATATAGATGTGGCAGCATGGAGTTTATTATTTTTACAACACAGGATCGCATAGCAATCATTCTGGGTTTTTAAATCAACATTGTTTGTGACTGAAATTTAAAGTAAGGATGCTACTAAACAAAAATAATTAAAACCAAAACTATCTTTTCTCATTAATATTATTCCATGTTCAATTTTCAGTTTATTCTCCTTTTATTTTTATTTTCCTGCTATTGACTGATAACAAGACATACGAAAGTAAAAAAAGAAAAAATCTTATTACTTTTTAGCTATTGCTTTATCAAAATTAAATAATACTTTATAATGCAATGTAAGAATAAGCAACATATAATTTAATACCTTATTCAAGTTGGCGAAGAAATATTGAAGAGCAATTAATTTGGTGAAATTAACATTTATATTTTTAAACTACTTACAATAGTTTGTCTTTTCTATTATAGATCAATGTAATGTTATTGGGAAATAAAATATAATTATCTCCATGATATTATTGGAAAGGTAATTATATTTTTAGCAAATCCAATTACTACAGAATTAATGACCAGTTTTATGAACAAAGTCTATATCAAAACTACATAATATTACACATGCACTGCCCTAAAAATGATTTTTTATTCTGTTCATCACATTATAGCAGTTTCCTAAGAAAATGTGATATGTTTCACAAAAATGCATACTTCACATTTTATCCATGTTATTTGATGAGAATGTCCTGAAAAATAGAAACTATTATGCTATCAACATATGTTATATGAACATATAACATCTAAAATCACACACCCTTTATGTCACATATAAAAAAGGACCGCCTTGCTAATATAGACATTTATAATTGAAAAGTAGAAATTTTGACCTGGTTAATGACTCTGGCACATGTTTAAAAGTTCTTGCTTTTTCTTGAAGGAATCTGACCTCTTAGGATCTTGTATGTTCTTTAATCACTTCTTAAAAACAACCTTAGTCCTTTCAGCTTTATTCTAAGAAAAATAAATTCTGTAAAGAAATCTTGAATTCACTCATCTCCTCCTATTAAAAACTGGAATCTTACACGTCATGGGGGTAGGGGTAGTATTCTATTATTAACATAAATTTAACACAAAATCTATCCTATATAATAAAACCCTAATATGCAAATTGACTTAACGGCAGAATGACCAGTGGAACTACCGGTCGCTATGACATGCACTGACCATCTGGTCAGTTCTGGCGAGTGCAGCGGCGGGGGCCTCTCCTGCCTCTGTCGCAGGTGAGCGGTAAGGAGTGAGGGGTCTCCAACTGTGAGAGCCCTGGACTGTGAGAGGGCACAGGCCGGGCTGAGGGACCCTACCCCCCTGAGTGCATGAATTTCATGCATCGGGCCTCTAGTATTTTTATAAGCACACAAAATATTTTTCAATTGATTTTTTTTAAACCCCAAATCTAAAAATGTCGATTTATTTAATTTTGAATATGTCTGAGCTGTCATAAGTATAAAATGTTTTCTTTTCATGTATTAAATTAGAAATGATCTGGTTTCATAGTCTCAGAAAGAGTCTGGATTAGAATGAACACAGCAGGTCTGTTCAGGTCTTCCTTTCATTACACATATCCCTTGCAAATGTAATCAGCAGGAAGGTAGGCTTGTATGAAAAAATTAGAAGGGCAGGATACAAGACAAATGGATATTTGCTTTGCTGACCAATCATATATAGAATTTTGTATTAAACAGTTTTTAGTTTAAACCTCAATGGATTGAGTATATTTCCATCCACAGATACAAGCTGCTACATCATTAACTTATTGATTTGCTTCATTTAAAACGAAGCATACCCTTTCTCCCTCCACCCACCTGTTCTCTCTGTCTTTTCATTCTTCTCTTTTCTTCTCAACTGACAAAACTGATACTGTATTAAAATCAGTTGGAGACAATGGTTAAAAATACAATCATTATACTATCTTTCTTTATATTTCCAGCAGGAAAGCATACAGCAAAATGCAAATGGCACTTGATTACTCCATATAATCAAACAGCTGTTCAGCTCTACTAACAATAGTTACTGGTATATAGCTATTGTATTACAGTGGACACTTGTATATGTATTTTTGTGTTTAATATACATTTAGGTATTTCCACTAAGGACCTTTTCTTTTTTAAATCAAGACCAGGATATAAAAAAAAGTTTCATCTATCTAAAGTGTTCTCAACATTAAGAAAATTATGATATGAAAAATCTGCCAGCTTACGCCTGTTTCTGCAGTTCCAACATTGTAACAATAATGAGTTGGCAGGTCATTTACACTAGTGCCTGGTGCTTCTGGACTAGTTCTGTATCCATAGACATATTTCTTTTCTCTAATTTTGAACACATTTACATATGACCCCACTTCCTAATTGATATATTTCTATGGATCACAAAATACTAACCAGTTATAGTAATTAATAGATACATACTGACCAACTCTTACACTTTAAAGATATGTAAAATAAAATTTAATTATTATAAATAAAATGAAATTATATATTTTAGAAATATATGTTAAGATATAAGTTCCACTTTTGGTTTCATAAAATGAATAGCGTACCAAGAAGTATTTCAATACCTATAAAGGAACTGGAAGGAATAAAACTCATGTCTATAAATCTCACATTTTAAATGATATAATTTGGTGTAGTTTAATTAGAAATATTAGAAACATACATGTGCATTAAAATGATGCTGTACTTATCATCATAAAGAATAACTCAGTCCTCAAAATTGTAAGTTATCGTTTGTAATATACTTTCATACATACACACATAACACACAGAAAAAAATCAATAAGTGGTAGGCAATTTTCCCACAGAAAATTGTTATATTCTAAAAAAATATTTTAACAATTACACATAAATTAAATCTTTGTATTATCTTACATAACTATGACTAACTTTTAATTTGCCTTTCTTCTTACACAAATTGACTCAAATAATAATGCCATGTATTATGAACCTCTAAATTAAAATTTTGACAATATGATAAAATAGGTATTTATTACTTCTAAAGCCTATTAGTCTTAAAGTTTAGATGATTCAATATCAAATTTATAAGTAATTCATAAATGTTAGATTTATTATATTCAACTATTATGTCACTTTTAATTTATATAAGTTGATAATAATATTTATTGGTAAATTATTTGCCTAAAATAAAGGATACATAGACCACATAATGTTATATCTTACATGTTTGTTCAAGCCTATTTACTATAATTGAACACATACTAGGGAGATATTTGGTAAGAAAATTGTGCAGTTTATAATTCAAGAGTAATAACAGCAAAATATATATAATTCAGCCCCATAATAACACATTGACAAGAGGAATAACTACCGAACAGAGGAAACCATAGCTAGCCTCATGACAAACAAATCATGTGCAAGATTATTGGGCTGTATTGGGATGTCTAGTTATATATTAGAGAAATAATATACTTTTGCTTTTCCCAATTTCAACAACCACAAGAGTTTTAAATGGAGTAAGATGGTAGAAGCAATTTTACCCCCAGAGACTCACCTACTGTCAGCTGTCCAGTTAACTGCCCCATGTGATTTCTTGCATTCACTGTTACATTCCTGTCAGACTGTAAGACCAGTGGACTATCCTGGGAAACATGTATAAAATAAAGAAATCAAATAAAAAATAGATATATAGTCATAACTTAATATATAAAATTATACTCTGTTTGGGCATTATCAAAATTCTATTTTGTTGTTTTATATTGGGCAGTTATTTTAACATCCCAAACATTGGTTGAACAATATAAAAATAAGGGTGCTTCTTAACTACTGTACAGAATAGGAATGTTTCTACATTGGTAAATGGGCATTAGCTATCGAGTGCAAGCATTTCCAACTTTTCTGGTTATTGTATGCATCCTAGGCATTCTAGGCTCTCTCCTTCTCCCCTCCCAGGGGCCTGCTTTTGGAGATATTCTAGACCTTATCCAACTGAGAAAGTATCTTTTTAAGCTGAATTTGCAATTTACAGATCTCAGCTTAAATGTTTCCTCTAAATTGCTTCCCCTGAAAACTGTAACTATAGATTCATTCAATTCCCAAATTCCCAGTCTTCACTAATTTTGTTCAAAGTACTTATCATAAGATGAATTTATTTTGCTCATTTATGTGTTTACTTGTTTTTTTATTTGTTTCTGTCACAAGAGAAACCATCCCTGGCACAGGGACCATGGCTATCATGTGTACACACCTATAGCCCCACTACTTAACATACTGCTGAAGGAAAGCATTTACTAAGTGCTTACTGAATGGATAAATACATCTTCATAAAAAATATTTAACCATTTACCCCATGTAGAAATTATTTGTAAATCACAGAATGATTTAAGTAAGGAGGTATATAGAACATAAGGTGTTTGCCAGTAAATTCTTTTAGTATACGTAACCTTGGTTGATGTTTCCTTCTATCGCTGGCCTAGTACTTAAAAGTAAAATAATTTATGGAAGGACATTATCATTGCCTAAGAAACTAGTATATGAGGCTTTTGCCACCACCTGTCTCAGACAATTAACTTACAACTGACCACATTATCATTTTTATGATCTAAAACGTAAGCAGGGTGATTATTTACAAACTGTCCATTCATTCATTCAACAAATATTTGCTGTCTCACTCTGTGTGACAAGGAAAATATCTCCCAACAGTATCTTCACAATCAAGATGGTGTGTCACTTTCATGCCAATGTAAATATACACATACTTTCATATGCAAGCCATATAAAAACTCTTTCTAGATTAGGATTTGGAATCTGTGATTTGGATAGACATAGAAAGACTATAGGCATTTTCTAAAGCTATTTTGTGCCCCTTTGGCGAGATACAAAGCACTGAGCAAACACAAGCACACACACAAACTTTCTCTTAAAAGTGTGCTTTGCTAATATATCTAAACTAAGACTTGATTTTTTAAAATAATTTCCACATTTTGAAGATGATATGTATTTTGTAAAGTGGGGCGTAGTTGTACAAAAACCATTATAATAAAATTTCATTCCCTTCCTGTCTCTCATCACAACTTATTTCTTTTTGCAATTAAAAAAATTTGGTCTTGCTCTAGCCGGTTTGGCCTGTGGACCAAAGGGCCCAGGGTTCCATTCCAGTCAAGGGAATGTGCCTTGGTTGCAGGATCCTCCCCGCCCCCGGCCCTCATCAGGTGTGTGCAGGAGGTAACCAATCAATGTGTTTCTCTCACATCGATATTTCTCTCTGTCTTTCCCTCTCTTCCACTCTCTCTAAAAATCAATGGAAAATATCCTCAGGTGAGGATTAAAAAAAAATCTGATCTTTTTCCATAGATATTTCTATGCTTCGGGTATTTATCTTTGAAGATATCGGAAGTATTTTAAATAATTACATCATTTGTTTCAAGAAATAGGTTCAAATTATTTTTACAATATAGATTGAGACTGGACTTTTTTGCAAAGAATTATACCCAGTAAGGATAATGCACAAAGCAAAAGCTCATAAAAGCACAAAAAGTATTTTATTTTATGTTGGCAAAATAAATACATGTTACCTATCTATCTTAAAAGGGAGTGTTTAATTAAATAACATTAATTTGAATGTTAGAACAGCAGAAGCCTATAAAGAAACTTGCTGTTCAAAACATACAAAATTTTGGTAGAATTTTCACTCACATTTTTCAATATTTTATGATATAACATGCATGCCTGTAGTTTAGATATTTTAAAATCAATGACACTATATGCTTTCATTTGCATTATTAAACCTAAATTTCTGTGAACTGTAGCATTTTTAAAAAAGTCTGACCATTTTTAAATATAATTTAAGGACTATGATTAAAATAGCAATCTTTTTACTGATTAAAAATATAAACACACAGCTATCAGAGGTAATGAACAATCCTCTACACTATATTCATGTGGATATCAATATCTATGTTACATCAGTATGGTAAAACGTGATAAGGTGAACTGAATCAAAACCAAGTAACTATTTTTGGTAAATGAAATGTAATGCATGTAAGGACACCATTTTCATTGACAAATCACACCATATTTCTGCATTATAGATAAAGCACAGGAACATTTTGAGGGGTTAAAACCAAGGCCTATTTATCTTAGGTCCAACACATAACATTTTTACACAATATCCCCTCAGTACCAATTTAAAAATATGTATGTGATAAAAATATCTATGGTAAAAATGATACCAACTCTTTCAATCATCTAAAGAGGATACAATCCTAAACTATCTATAAATCTGATAACAAAGCCATTTTAAGTGAAAATCAGTACCAAGAAATGACCTCTTTCCAAAAAAGATTGACATTTAAGAAAGTTTGATATCGTCTTTGCATTCATTTCTCCAAAGTTCTCTACATAAGAAAATCACTTCCACCAATAGATCATAGCTTTCCACTCTCTTCTTTCTATTCTCTCTTCATGTTCCTTTATATTGCCTGTCTGTGTTCCAAAACTTGGAAAGCCAGTCTAGTTTCAGATAGTAAAATAGAGATAACAGTACTCCCTTCTAGCTTATTTTTGCTGGGAACATAATGGGGAGAAAATTATTTGGTGGTATTATCTCATGGAGTAGGAATAAACATAGTCAGGATGAACAGGTGGCATCTTAGTCTGCACAATGCACTAGTATAAATATCTTTATTTTCTTTGGAGGAAGAAAAACTTCATACTTAGATTCAAGTATCTTTCCACTAAAACTAGGATATCCTCTATTTGCAGGTATTTTAGTTCTCGGGAGCTGACCTGCATCTTGGCTGTAACTACAGGAAATATACTTATGCTCTTTATGCTTCTTACGCTACTCTTGAGACAAAGCCAGTAGAAGATACAGGGAGAAAGGCAATGGCACCACTAAATGGGCCTGAGAACCCTGCTTACATTTCCTTCATGCACACATTATTTAGCTGAGGATCTGGCTGTAAGCTTGCTAATGGTTATCCTATATAATAAAAGCCTAATCCTATATAATAAAAGCCTAATATGCTAAGTGTCCAGTTGTCCAGTCATATGTTCTACCAATCAAAGCATAATATGCTAATGACCAGATGACTGGACAATCACTTAGCATATGACGTGCACTGACCACCAGAGGACAGACACTTCAACTGGTAGGTTAACTTCCTCTGGGGTCTGGCAGATCAGGACTGAGTGAGTCAGGCCAGACATGCCCAGGAGCCCTCCTGCAGTCCCTCCCCAGCTGGCCAACCCTCCTGCGTCCCTGCCCGGCCCCGATTGTGCACCGGTGGGGTCCCTCAGCCTGGCCTGTGCCCTCTTGAAATTCGGGACTCCTTGGGGGATGTCAGATAGCCAGTTTTGGCCTGATTACATAGGCCAGGCCGAGGGACCCCATTGGTGCAAGAATTCGTGCACCGGGCTTCTAGTAGAAAAATAATGCAAAATGTTCTTCTCATTGCAATGCCTTTGTGATAGGCTGTACAACTGAGTAAGGAGGAAAAATGATTCTTTTCTTTGTATTTCTATTGAGCTCACCTTTGTTTATCATAAATATTTACTGAATACCTATGATGTGCCCAGCTCTTTGCTTGTCAGTGTGTGTAAAACAGTAACAGAAAGAGACACACTTTATTCTCTTACAGACTTCATAATCTACTAAGCCACACAGACAATAAAGCAGGTAAATAAAAAATGGAACAAAACAGAGAATGTTACACTCACAAGCTGCTGTGATAGGCATTTCTCTAAAAAAGTATGTTGTACTGATGAGAAGATGGTGTGTATATGTGTATAAGGTGTTGCATGTATATAAGGCACTTCAGATTCCTATATTCATTCTCTCAAGATTATCAAATTGTAGTAGAAACAGCAGCTAGGACTTGCTGGTACTTAATCAGTGCCAGATGCTGCTCTAAATACTTTACATCTATGAGCACAAAGTAAGATTGCCCATGAAAAAAATTAAGAAAATTAAGAAAGTGGTTGTAAGACAGGCAGTGGACCTTGACTGATTTCAAACAGTGAGTCTACCAAACGCTGACTGCTTGACTCAGCAATTCATAGAACTTCTCTGTACCATCCTTTCTTTTATCTGTAAACAGAGTAATGATACATGATTTGTGGGGTTTCTAAGGAATTAATGATATATACAAAATGCTCAGACGAGGGCCTCACCTTTGCTAGGGGCACTATTAGTGTTTGCTTTAATTATTTATTCCACACTGCATTCCAGTACTCTACTAATGGCAGTGCTAGCAACCATTCCTTGTGTTTCTCAGTGAAGACACTGCAGCAAAGAGTACAAGTCAGTTGCTCTAAATCACACAGCTAATAAATAACAGAGGATGTAGTCGTCAAACCCGGCAGTCCAGATCTAGAATCTTTCCTGTCAAGCACAGTAAGATACACTCTCTCTGGTCAGTGATTAATTTCAAGCCTTTCTAAAATGGCAAACCAAACTCTGAAAATAAATTCAAAATAATGGGACACATATAATTTAAACTTGCTTTAAACATTCCCACCTCTGAAATATCTGATACATATACTGCCTTAGAGGTAAGATCTGACCTCCACATTAGCATCATCCAAGTTTCAGGAGGTCTGGTTCACTGTGTTTGCCCAGGTTGGAGAGGAAGGGGGATAC